ATCACGTTCTCTCTCTCTCTCTCTCTCTCTTTCTCTCTTCGGGATTTTCAGGTAAAGTAAGAGAAAGAGAACTTTATCGTGTTTACTTTGTATTCCTTTTCTTCTTCCTCCTCTCTTGTCGTCGCCATTTTTTCTTTCTTCTTATAGTCCATTGTTTTTCCTATCGTGAATCGTGATCGATGACCGATAATAGAAGGAGAACAACAGCTGATTTTTTTGGTATCGGAAAACTAAATTCTTTACTTTATTCTTATGGTGAATTTGACAAGATGGGGTGGAAAAAGAAAAAGAGGGAGAGAAAGGTTTGCATCCCTCACTGAACAACAATCTTTATTTCTAACTAACCATAAGAGTTTTTCGTTGTTAGTGTAGGTGGTTATGATGGTGTTAGTGGTGGTAGTAGTAGGTAATCATTTCGCTTAATGACGAAGACCGAAGTGAGTGAGGTCCTTTCCATTCTACTCGGGCACAGATTATCGCACCGTTCTTCTTTCTTTCTCTCTCTCTCTCTCTCTCTCTCTCTCTCTTTCTGTGTTATCCACGGAGTCTGTAATTTTGTTCTAGCGACCGTGCCACCACGTCGCGCCGAAATTGGTGTACGATGGAAAGATTTCGTGGAAACTTTTGGTCCACGAGAAAAAGAAGAAAAGAATAGAAAAGGAAAAAAGAAGCCCAAGAAAGGTAAGACGAAATGGTGGTAGTTGGTGGTGGTTGGTGGTGGCATTTTTACTTCGGCGGTTGAAGATCAGAGGGAAAAAAGGTAGAGAAAGAAAAATGGCAAGGACTAAGGGCTTTGTTGATTTGAAGGTAAGATAAATAACTAAGTTTCCGAGATTTCTAACATTTTTCCAATAGGATGAACACGGTTTCAAAGAACACGACATGGTCAGGTATCCGAATACAATATTTCTATTTTTCAAGAAAGTAACATAATTTCGTATTATTTGATCCCATTTTCTTTCTTTTTATTTTTCAAACATTTTTGTTCTTCCTCTAAATAAAAAAAAAAAAATAATCACTGGCACGATTTTCGAGTGATACGTGAAATGATGGATTCGTGTAAAGGTACACACGGTGAGTTCGTTAGGTCAATCGGATAGTTTGGTATTGCAATTGGAAAGTTTTCTATACCGATGGAAGCTTACCTTATTGTACTTTTGCACGAGAAAAGAGAGACACCGTACAAGACACTGTAGAGATCAGAAAATTGCTGAGTTTCGAGTGAAAGGACTTGGCCGATTCGCGTGCCATTATAATTTACTTTCATGTTCCTGAGAAGTAACGTGATTTCCAACACGGGGGCCTGTGGCCAAATCGAAGGAACCTCGGGAACCGTGTTATTACCAAAGGCTTTCGCCGCGTTATGGATTTCTGCGGACGATCCTAAATGGATTTTGACGGTACTCGGACGAACCTGCGCATCACCGTAGAAAATTCACTACGTAACGAATCCCCCCAAACTCCATGATACTCTTTTCTTCCCTTTTAATCTTCTTTTACTTCTTTCTGGACAAAATTCTTAACATGGGTAAAAGACATTGATCGATTTTCAAATATTAACCTTAAAATAACAACAACAAAACACACACACCTACACACACTTACTGCATACGCTTACAAAAATGAATCATCCATTTCTAACGCGGTTATGTGTATACCTATTTCGATAGAAATATTGTTAATTACTAATCTAATCTATCAAATAAATAAATTCTAATTTCGATATATGCAACATGTCCTAATCGCTTGCATAATATTATCAAACAGGTTACCGTCATTTTATTATTAAACAAATAAAAACAAATGTTAGAGTTTCCGTACACGTTGGGTTATTTTCCAGGAAGCCAAAGTATGGGAATAAGAAGAAGAGGTGTGGATAGAGTAAGGGAGGGTGTGGAGGTTATATGCGTAACAACGTACTTTCGAGGTCGAGACTCTTTCCTGCTTCCAGCACCTGCAAAAGATCAGGCCGTGCACTCGATGCTTGGGCAAACAATACGAACGATGATGCACCGTCCCGAGCGCATTGTCCGTAGCGAGTAGTAGTAGGCGGCGGATTTATCTGCCTACTCGTAGAGTCAGGTAGAGGAGTCCAAGGGTCCTCGACCCTCAGGACACGTCGCACTGTCCGACGGAACCGATGGATCTTCTTCTCCTTCTCCCCCTTCTCTTCTACCTTGTCTCTCCCTTTACCCTTCTAACTTGTCGTTCTCATTTTATTTTTATTTATTTTTATTTATTTTGTTTCTTTCGCATTCGTTATGGGCTGTTTTCGCGCGTTCGATATCATACGATCCTAAAAAAGGAAGCTTTCATTGGTTCAAATAATTATTTTCTTGATCACAATCTATTTGCATCAATGTATATGTGAATTTCCATGATAAAAATTACAATTGCAAATTAAGATAGACATTTTATATGATATTTTTGGATGCGTTATTGCACCCAAATGCAACCAAACCCAAATTGTGCGTTTGACAATGATCTTCATGATAAGGAAAGAATAAAGTATAGCGAAAAATAAGAGAAACATTTGCAGTTTCATATTCCAATGTTTAGGACGGGATGCGTGAAAAAATTTGAGTATAACAAAAAAGATTAAAATTCAAAATTGTAGACGAGATATTTTCTCGCGCACGGTAACTATAAAAGAAAGATGTTAAATCACGCGATACGCGAGTAAAGTTGGCCGGGTATGTTCACCGCAAGCGAGGTCGAATTCCTGTTCGAGAGAGAGAGAGAGATTGAGAGAGAAAGAGAGAGAGAAAGAGAATGAATCCTGGCATTGGTTTCACGTATCTCAATGCGGTCACGACGACGTTTCGCGATCGATCATGATCGAGTTTGTAGATGAGGCGCCTTCTAAAAAGAATATTTCACATCACTTGTAATTTTTTCTTTTTTTTTGGGTCGTAACCAAAATCATCGTCGAAAGGGAGGAAGCAAATGAAAATAAATTGAAACACGAATTACTACTATTGCTACTATTGCTACTACTACTACTAATGTAGGATGAAACATAAACAATAAAATGAAGTTGAAAAAGAAATGAGAGCGTATTTCTGAAGAAGAAGGAGAAGAAGAAGAAGAAGAAGAAGAAGAAGAAGAAGAAGAAGAAGAAGAAGAAGAAGAAGAAGAAGAAGAAGAAGAAGAAGAAGAAGAAGAAGANAAGAAGAAGAAGAAGAAGAAGAAGAAGAAGAAGAAGAAGAAGAAGAAGAAGAAGAAGAAGAAGAAGAAGAAGAAGAAGAAGAAGAAGAAGAAGAAGAGGGTGGTGTAAGAGAAGAGTTGGCGCGCGTTCCCTGAGCCGCTTTCCTCGTCACGTCACGAAATTCCAGGACCTTTGGCACGGGCGTACAGGAGGTTTGTATGGCCGAGCGCGGAATGAGCGCCGACGGTAAGTCAGTTCCTCGCATACCGGGCTCTCAGGTAGGTAGGTAGCAAGGAGGTAGAGAGGGGACAGGGCAGAGGAGAGCGTGCGCGCGCGCGTGAGTTCCACAAGAGAGAAAGAGAGAGAGAGGAAGAACAAGATAGGGCCCGAGAGTGGGAGAGAAAACGACTTAAGAAAGAGAAGGTATATAGTAGAGTCTAGGTGCTCGCTGCCGTGCCGCGCGTTGAATGCCTGGGCCCGGAGTGTATCAGGCCCAGAGTGTATCGGAGTGCGCTCCCCTCTCCAAGATGGCCGCCGCTCAGGTCCAGCCGGGTCCCCCTGACTGAGGCAGCCGAGTTGGTCGAGTCAGGGGAAGGGTAGGCCTTGCAGGTGCCGCCATGTCAGTGCATGCCTAACCTCGAAGCCGCGCGGAACGGACGCTGGCCCGAACAACGCGACACCTCGTGCCCGCGAATACTCGAGTTTCGTTCGATCCCGAATAAGAAAGGATTTCTTGCATTCTCCCTACCAGAGATTATTCCAAGAGATCATAGAAAACCTGCTAGAACGAGCTTCTCTTCTATTTTATACACTGTGACCGGTTTTTCTCGCGGATACATATCTACGCGTATGTGTATATATACCTTGTGTGTGTATATATACGTATAGTATATACACGTAGGAGAAAAGAAGAAGAAGAAGAAGAAGTTAAGGTGTTACGAAGAGATATACAATCGAGAAACATATAGTGGACCTAGTCCAAGTACGGTCCTAGAAGAAAGAGAGTTCGTAGGAGAGAAAGCAAGGAAAGAGATCGGTAAACGCGGAATCTAAATTTTCGTTCGTATATATTTCACTATCCATTTATCTATACATATATATATATATATATATATATATATACCAATATATATATATATATAGTTTATCTCGTCGCGAGTGAGCGGTTTCGTGCGAGTTTAGGAGCAGATACGACCCTGGATCCTTTCGGTCGTTCACTCCCGCTTGAGTCGGGATCCTTTTCTATGATACCAAGCGCCGTTGGATAAGCCGAGCATCGTCTGTCTCGGACCAGGTTCCTCGTACCAGGTAGAACGGAACGCAAAGCTGGTACGACGATGACGAGTAACGGCGGAGGAGAAGCGAAAGGATCGCGCCAGGTTCGCGACCGGTCTTGTTGACCATCCGGTTATCGTCGGTAGATCTAACGCGAGGAATGTACGATATCTCGCGGCGCGTATATGCTCGGTGACAGTGAGTACATAGGATGCTAGGCTAAAAGCAGTTGTATATTTTATATGCTTGAAAAGGGAGTTTCGTGGTCGGAAAAAGTGTGTGTCGAAGGAGGATCGAAAAAGAAAGAGGAGATTAACAAAAGAGTAAGAGAGATGAGGTGATTGTGTGTTGTGTTGGATTGGTGCTGGTGGGTGATCTAATTTGACCGTAAACGTCATCGATAGAAGATTTAAAAAGATCAAGAGAGAGAGAGGAATTTCGAATAGTCGGAGTTGGAAGTTAGACAAGGTGGAAGATTCTGGAGAAGAAGAGGGTAGCGAGGAGGAGGAGGAGGATTTAACGTCGTAGAAGGATAAATCCGAGGATGGAAGGGTCGAGATAATAAAAGGAGAGTGGAGTGTAGAGCAGAGTGTGAGAGAGATTTCAAGGAGGAGAGAAAAAGAAGTGGTTAGCAGGAGGAGGCCGGGAGGAGGCCAGGATGCGGCCGGTAAGGCACCTGCTACTGTTGTTCCTCGTCCTGGGAGCGAGCCTCGCCCCGGGCACGCGGTCCGAGTTGGTCAGATGCTTCGAGGTTTCCGAGAACGCACGGCCAGGTACCAGGGTGGGCTTCATCGACGCGGAGAACCCTCCGTATCTGCTGGTTTCGGTGTCAGGATCAGCGGTGGATGCCGATCTTACGGTCGACCAAACGACAGGGGAGATAAAGACTAAGGTGCCATTGGATCGAGAGACAAGGCCTTCTTATACCTTGGTATCTCTGCCGCAAAATGTCAAGGTGGTTGTTAAGGTGTTAGACGAGAACGACAATGCACCTAGATTTCCCGTTGATCGGGTAGACGTTGAATTCCCCGAGAATTCGCCAAGAGACGCGAAGCGTGCATTGCCACCGGCAAAAGACCCCGATCTCGGTCAGTACTCGACCCAACGTTACGAGATCGTTTCGGGTAACGACGGCGAGGCGTTTAGATTGTCGCAGCATCGTGGTCGCGATGGCGTACTCTATCTGGATCTTCAGAACGGTGGTACATTGGATCGCGAAGCTCGTTCGAACTACCGTCTGGTGATCGAAGCTCTCGACGGGGGCTCGCCTGCCCTACGCTCGAGGCTGCACGTGAACGTGACTGTGCAGGACGTCAACGACAATCCACCGATCTTCAATCAGACTCGGTACTCTGCGAGCGTGCCGGAGAACGCGACCGTCGGCACGCCGGTTTTAGCCGTGAATGCGTCCGACGCCGATGCTGGTGAAAACGGTCGGATCGAGTATTCGATCAATCGTAGACAATCCGATCGCGGCGAGATGTTCCGCATCGATCCGGAAACCGGTATGGTTTATGTGAACAAGGCGTTGGACTTCGAGTCGAAGGATCGTCACGAGTTGGTGATCGTAGCAAGAGATCGTGGTGCGCAACCGCTCGAAGCGAGTGCTTTCCTCTCCGTTCGTGTCACCGACGTCAACGACAATCAACCGGCCATCACGGTGATCTTTCTCTCGGACGACGCCACGCCTAAGATCAGCGAGAGCGCTCAACCGGGCGAGTTTGTAGCGAGAATATCGGTCAGTGATCCTGACTCCAGGACCGAGTATTCGAACGCGACGGTCACGTTGACCGGTGGCGAAGGACATTTTGGTTTGGCTACCCGAGATAATATAATCTATTTAGTGGTCGTTGAGAGACCCCTCGATCGAGAGGAAAAGCCCGTTTACGAACTTTCCGTAGAAGCTACGGACGCTGGTACACCGCCCTTGAGAGCGGTACGTAATTTCAAGTTATTGGTCACCGACGTCAACGACAATGCGCCTAAATTCGAACGTGATACTTACGAGGCCCATCTTCTCGAAGCATCCGAACCAGGTACATCGGTTCTACGTGTCGTTGCCACGGATTTGGACGAAGGTGCCAATTCGGCAGTTAGATATTCCATACGTAATTCCACTTGGTTTGCCATCGACGAGATTTCAGGATTGATCAGCACGATCAGTCACGTCGATTGTGAAGCAGATCCAGCTCCTATTCTCATAGTTGTAGCAACCGATTCTGGTCGTCCACCTTTAAGTAGTAGTGCTACAGTTCGCGTTACGGTTCACGATCTCAACGACAACGAACCCATCTTCGAGAAGCCGTTGTACAATGCCACCGTGCCTGAGGATATGCCAGTTGGACGCTGTTTTCTCAAGGTATTGTTTCTTCTTTCCTTTTTTCTTTTTTCCTTCATCGTTCATTTCTTCTTCGACAAAACGTAAGTTTAGCGATTCGACATTCTCTTTACAATTTCCTTATTACGCATACCTTCTTGGAAATGATTATTCCTGATCGGTAACGTGTTACTTTTTAATAGGTACTTCGCCGATGGCGAGTGCCCACCACGTTTTTATCATTATTAGAAGAATAAAAGTCACAATCAGTGCGCGATAGATAAAAAGGTTCGAAGTGAAAGAGAAACATTCCGAATTCTTTGGATCCTTTTTTTAACGATGACGACTCGTGTTGTTGACTTAACGTCAAAAATTTGAGAAACGGTACAGACAAAAAAAATAAAACAAATAAAACGATCGATAAAAGTTACAAAAATTAATTAACCAAAATTATGACGATGTAATGAATTGCTTTTAATATTCATTATAAAAAATATGAGTTAAATAAATTGATCATTAGATGATACTTCAAATCTACCCAAATACATCGAAAAACTAATTAAATCTTGAAAGAGCAAGGATAGAACAGAAAACTACAGTTAAACTATTTCTTTCTGGGAAAACCATAATTGGATATACCCGTACCCAAAGATTTTCCCCGGAGCGTAGTGCAATTAGTATAGCTTGTAGACCGTTAAGGAACGTTATCGATCAGAGTGCACTTCTATCGTGGAAAATCGAGAGTTCGATAGTACAACTCTACGTTCGTTCGAGCGAATCCACACGATCTTTCGCATTTGTTGCGTACCTCGACAGTACTCTATGGAGAAGGAGAGTGAATACGATACTATACTCTCGAAGGAACGTGAATGAGGAAACTATCGAGTATGGACGAACGGTACGTGAATCGTTCAGGGACGTATCTTTACTTTCATCCGACCCAAAACTCACAATACCAAATTCAAACAAATTATTATTATTAAAATGATGACAATGAAAGAAATAAAATAATTCAATTGAATGTAAAAATAAAATAAACCAAACAATTTTAAGAATTTTCAAACAAAATGGTCTTTAAAAAAAAAAAAAAGAAGAAAATATGCACATTGAATCATAGCGTTGGGTTGTATTTAAAAATGTTTTTTAGTCGAAGGCGTATTCATTTCTTTTTATTTTATGTCGCAAGAAGTGAAATTATTAAACGGGGACTTATTTTAAATTTATCCGTCAATATTTTATTTCCAACAAAATCATTTGTATTAAAATATTCCTGTGCAATAATCAAGTTTAACAAGACAATCCTCTTCGATTTCGATATTTTTTTTTTCTTCTTCTTCTTCTTTTTACATTTTCTTTTACTTTTATACTATAAGCATTTATTTTTATTCTTTATATTTATGATGTCCTTGGTGTAATAGAGTTCGCATACTTACGACTACCGTTGTCGATACCTTTACTTTCTCCTACTGAGACGCGCCTTTCTCCAAGCTTATATGGTACCTCCGATAAATTTTAATACCAGATAATAATAAACTTAATGCAAAATTTAACTTGTGAGAAAGAGAGAAAAGAGAAAAATAGAAAAGATCATAAGACTATACAAGTATTTTCTACGTTTTCAAATAATTCTCAAGTGATTTCGAAGACGGGTAGCTTTAAATAAAGAACTTTCCCTGTTAGTTTCACGTATTAAATACATCCATCAAATTAACACATACAAAATACAATGAAATAAATAAACTAGTAATATATCTATGTATAGTAAATGAAAAAAATAAAAGGAAGAAGAAAAATAAATGTGTAACAAATTGAATAATGAAAAAATAATTGAAAAAAAAAAATAATACGAGGAATAATAAAAAAGAAAAAATTCTGATTGGTATCGTCAAATCGTTGAAGAAAATCAAATACGAAGCGACGTATTTTCACCGACGACGAGTCAGAACTTGTCGTTACGATATCGATGTTTCTTCCTGGTGCATTACATGCGCATACGTGGCCTCCGTCAATGCAAAAGAAAAAGAATAAAAAATAAAAAAAGAAAATAAAAGAAGGGGAGGGTGCGGGTTCGAAGAAAATAAAAAATAAAAGCAAAGTTCGATCTTTGGAAAGGCTGTTCGCTTCGAATATCGTCCGATGGAATTAAACGTTCAAAGAAGAACGCGAAGAGTTAAGTTGTGGGAGGGAGTTGAGTATGAGGACTAAGGTGAAGGGGGGACTGGGGAGAAGCTTTGGTAGTGTTGGACGTTGACTTCTGTGTTTGTGAAATTTGAGATATCGGCCGGTTTCATAAAGGGGATTACGCGGTATAGTACTCGTCGCCTTTTACGAATGATCGTATTACGTTCGACGTAATCGTCGAAAGTAACACTATACTTACCTGAGAAGTTTGTACGATAACGAAGTTGTCGTCATACTACCGTCATACCTAACTCCAAGAAGATGTCGACAATGTTCTCTTTAAAGTGAACTTTGTAAGAAGCTATATGGAGAAAAAAAAGATTCAGTTTTCTTTAAGATACTTCAATTTTGTTTCCTACCTTCCTTCCTTCTTTCTTTCTTTCTTTCTTTCCTTGGCTGGGTCTTCTTCTTCTTCTTCTTCTTATTCTTTCTTATTTCTTCGACGATCTCAGGTGAAAGTCTGAAGTAACGCTCGAGGTGATGCCGATGACTAATTTTCTCCTGGTCGGATCGGTATCGCTGTAATTATGACATAAAACGTTACACGCTTCTCCGAGCGTTTAAATGAGCACAAGGTACATATATATGTATATATATATATATAGATATATGTATATACAATACATTTTCATTCAGAAATTATCATTTATTTGTATTAATAGTCAAAATATATTATATCGTTATAAAACGTTTCTATGTTTTCTTTTCTTTTATTTATTATCGATCTATAAGTTTCATTTGATATTTTGATCCAGTCATATTAGATGGACAGTATTTGCATGTTACATTATATACTTAAATAAATAAATAAAGAAATAAAGAAATAACATGTAATTAATATCGGCCCATCTATTGTCACTTGGTGGTTGGTGTTAATTGGTCTTTTATGAGCTAAGATTATATCATTAATTATAAATTTATTTATTAGATATATTAATGAAATTTTCTTCGAACAATCGTGAATAAAAATTACTTACGTGTTGTACACGTTTTATTTAAATTCAAATATAATAGCTAAACTATCCTTGGTTTTGTTAACATATAAAACTCATACAAAGCTAAATGATATTTGATTATTTTGTAAAATACAATAAGTAAGATAACAATGTTGATAGTTCATTAATATATCTTTTTATATTGGAAATTTATTTAAATTTTCTCGACAAGTTATCTATCTTACATTAGTTGAATATGAAAAAAAATCTTACTTGATTGTCACCGTCCAGTATGGTGTACTTCAGAAATTCGTTGAGTATGACGAATTGTGACCTAAAACAGTCAAGAATATTAATACTGAAGAAGAAGATTAAATATGTGTATATGCATGTATGTGTGTGTGTGAATAGAAAGAATATATAAGAATGAATATACATATATCGCAGACTAAAAAATTCATTAGAGTATTAATAATACCGTATAAGATTAAGTATGTATAATATGATTAATGTATACACTTATATACAATGAACGTGTGAATGTATACATGTATGTGCATAGATCCATACACGGAAGTCGAATATGACACAAAATATGATCGATTACGATTAATCAATAATAAATTATAGTCCTGAGAATATGAACCAACATCGCAAGTATGTAATGTAAATGAGAATTAGATTTTAAATCTATAAATTAATATTGTCGAAAATTTGAGAGAAGGAACACGTTGGACACGTCAGGAGAGATGTTAACAGTGTTGTGTATTGAATTTGACTGAAAAATAATTCAACGTTATTTTTCAACCAAGGCCAAGAATATAATATTGTTTTTTGTTTTGTTTAATATTTTTTTTCTAGTTAAATCGTTCCATGTACTTGATACACCGTATACTATATAATAAACTTATACACTATTACTTATATAATAATAAAAATTTATACTTTATAAAATATATAAATTTACTATATAAATTTATATATTTCATTTTTTTAATTAATTTTCTTTGGATTATTTTAGAATATCGATTATTTTAATGTAGAATGAAATTAATTTGGTTTAATCTTATTTAGTTTATATTTTTTTAATTACTTAAATTATTTTATTTAATTATATTTAATTTAATTTATTTTACTTTTAAATTATTATTTTGTATTTGTATATATATATATATATGTACGTGTATTTTATTAATGTTAATTAATAATGAAATTAGAATTATGAATAATAGAACAAAAATAATAATAATAATTAATGTTAATTAATAATAATCCAGTTTGAATAACTCGTCATTGATTATGACAACGATAATATTGATTAAATTATGGTAATAGAGAATCTCATATTCTAATACAAGTAATATTAATTACTTTTAATTACCTAGTCAAAACTTCTTATAGAGTTCATTAGAAAAAATACTGTTACGATTATATTATGTTAAAAGATTTATTTGCTTTAATAAACTCTATATTGAAATGATTAATCGATCTAAATGAAGAGTACAAACGTTGTATATGTGTATTATTTAAAATTATCCTAACAAATTGAAAGATTAATTTCTAACCCGTGTTTTTATTTATTTTTTTTTTTTAATTTATACGACAAATTTTATTCTCCACGATTACTATGTTCGAACACACTGTCAGATCAATTTATCAGGTTGACAAATTTTTACCAGAAAAAAAAAAAGAAATGATAGAAATTAAATGCATGTATACATATGTAATGTAAAAATATTTTTCGAAAATTAATAAATAGGGAAAACATGAGAGAGAAAGAAAGAGATAGATACCGTATAGGAAATAAAAATGAGAAAAAGAAACAAACGTTTATCTCTCGAATCAGCTTGTATCACCTTGGGTGGGTTGAGTTGTTTGAAACGATATCGAGTCCACAGAAGTTGGACAAACCCTTTCGCGGGTTCGAGAGATACGATCATTGCGAGCTTTGTCACGGAAATTAGAGAAGGTAGATTTTTGCACAGTGAAAGAAGGAAATTGTTGAGTTCAGTTTTAAACTCAGAAGACTTCAGATGATTCAAACTCAGACTCACAGGTTAAGACTCAAAAGAAAAAGATGAGAAATAAGAAGAAGAAGAAGAAGAAGATAAAAGAGAAGAGTATAGCAAAAGGTCGAGCTGCGAGGTAGTTGGCTCTGTGACGAAGCGTCTGTCATTCATAACGCCGAGCGAAGCGTGGACGAAATGAAAGAAAAAGAGATCCTTTAAGAAAAAAAAAAAAATGATAAAAATAAAAATAAAAATAAAAATAAAAAAATAAAATAAAAATAAGATAAAAGAAAGGTTCTTCTTCCTCCTACTTTTGGTTCTCTCGGATGCCACCTTTTTATCTCTGCAAGTAAAGAGGGAGAGAGAGAGAGAGACAGAGAAAGAGAGAGAAAGAGAGAGAGAGAGAAAGAGAGAGAAAGAGAGAGAGAGAGAGAGTGAGAGAGAGAGAGAGAGAAGGTGCCGCCGAATGCCAATGGAAATTGCAAGGAATAAATGAGTACATTTTTCAATCGGCCGCTTTGGCCCGCACACGGATGCATTCTCCTGGTCTCTTTTCTCTTCCAATGGCCGACGAATATATTCGCGAGAGTATTTTACACGTATAAGAGTATTCGTGTTAGTATATACACACACATATATATATATATATATACATATATATATATAATATTATACATATGGTATATTAGTAAAGTATATATTCTTTTATTGCGTTGTCTAGTTCAATGATGATTTATAATTGTTATCTCCGAGCGGGTATAATTATTATAATTATACATTTTTCGTCGGGAACCTTCTCTCCCTCCTTCTCCACCTCCTCCTCCTCCTCCTCCTCCTCCTCCTTCTTTTCGTCTGGATTCAGAACATACTTTTTTCCCTTCTTTGTATTTTATTTTTATTTTTAATTTCGTCTTATTTTTTTTTAAATTCTTTTCTTTTCGTTTCTCGTTCCATCCCCTTTGGTATGGCTCCACCCCTTTCGTTTCTTTCGTTTCGTTTCATTTCTTTTTATTTTTTTGGTTCTTCCTCTTGTTTATTGTTTTGTTTTATTATTTCATCCTTTATTTCTTCTCTGTTTCTTGTTCCCTCCTATTTCTTTCTTTCTATCTATCTTTGTCCTTTTTCTTTTCTACCTCAAGAGAGAGGTCCGATCTATGGCTGCTCGGAATGGAAACGGGTTTTGGAAGTCGGATTCGTGAGTCCGAGAGTCCGCGAGTTCTCTTCTCTGTCTTTGAATCGATACTTTCTTTCTCTTTCTTACCACAATATTTCTCTTTAAACTTCACATTTGGGTTATTTAGTTATTATATTTCACATTAGTTGAAAACTTTCAAGTTATTTGAGTTTGAATTTTTTTTTCGTGAGATATTATTCTATCATATCAGGAAGAAGACATTTATTTGAAGACAGAGAGCTCAAAATACAACAGTAACATTTGAATAATTAGTTTGGATAATATAATCGTGAAGGTTCGTTCCTTTGTTCCTTTCTCTCTCTCTCTCTTTCTCTCTCTCTCTCTTTCTCTCTTTCTCTTTTTAACTCTGACGAATCGTAACGATCGAACTTACTCAAGAGGAGCATTAATTTCTAATGAGGCATAAGCTACGACGAAGGAACGAGCAATTCTGTGACGTGATTGATGTTGACGTACACGTATAGGGTGCCACCGATCGCACCTACAAATATTCTCCATGATGATAATCGTATGTAAAAATAATGCAACGTTTTCGAACAATTCTAATCTTTTTTTTGTCCATCATTTAAAAAAAAACATTAATTTTATTGACACGTCTACGAGAAGAATTTATTCGTTAACCCATTGACTGGTAGACGTATTTAGAACGTCTTGGCTTAAATTTTGAATAATGTAATAATATTTTATTATTAATATATAATATTGTAATTATGTTACTGATATAATACTGTAATGGTATTTACAATAATTGATAATTAATGTTTGTTACACCATATAAATATTTGATTCAATCTTTATAATAATTCTTAATGCAAATAACCATTTATAATTAATCTAAAATTGTAGCACACACTACGAGATATATCTCGTAGTTGGCAGTCAATGGGTTAAAGAAATTGTTAGGGAAACTGAAATTATTCGAAAATAGTAATCGTGTCAAGTTGAAGTTCGATTTCTTTAACACGTAGGTGTATATAAGTTAAAAAGAAAGATTGTTGGGAAGAAAAGGAGAGTAGTTACCGTTGGCATGTATTATACTATGTATGAGTTAAAGAAGAAGAAGAAGAAGAAGAAGAAGAGAGGGAAGAAGACGAGTTCGTGAAGAAGAGGCTCTCGTGTAGGTGCCTTATCCTACGCGGCCAGGACACGGGTTCCAATTCATCCTCGCGCAAGCCTCCCATTATAATACGTCCTAACTGGCAACCGAGGATCATTAAGCCACGCTGCCTTTTGTCCGTTCCTACATCCGTCTTTCTACCTCTAAGAATAAAGAAAAGGGTGGAAGAAGGAACGAACGAACGAATAGAAGTAAGCTTTCGTCGTCCTTGTTCTTCTCTCTATCTCTCTATCTCATATTCTCATTTTTTATTTTTACCTTTCTCTCTCTCTCTTTATTTTCCTTTTGAAAAAAAATCTTTCTACTACGACTTTTTCCCATCCTTTCATCAGTCGGACCTATTTTTTAAAATATTTTTCTCATTCCATCTTTCATTTACAAACTTATCACCGTGAATAGTAAGAATCTTATTTGTTTAGCTTATCGTAAAATGACTTATTTATTATTGGTCCAGATTTAATAAAAGAGATGCAACCGTGTTAGTCGCGTATCCTAGTGTAAGCGAAGTGACGAACGTAATGACTCTAACCATCGTCTGACATCTGGCATTAGGCACTCAGACTTTCGAGTGGCAACGCCCGCAGCAATTGTTGCCGTTTACGACTGCGCCGAGCATGTTCTCTCTCTCTCTCTCTTTTTCTCTCTCATCATCATCATCTCACTTTCTCTCTTTCTCTTGCCGTTTCTTTGTATCTCGTATCCTTCTCTCCGTCATTCTTTCCTCCCATTTCTTTCTCTTTCGTTCTCTCACGTATTTTTTTTCTCTCTCTCTTTCTTTCTTTCTTTCTTTCTTTCTACCTTTCTCTTGCACACACGTTCTCGATCCTACGCGCTATAGACCGCATTCCCGAGTGCAACGACGAGGCAGAGATGTATATGCATTCGCGTGTGCACCGACCGCCACCGCCACCATATGTGTACTTCGATAGTTCGATCTTGTGCATACGTTGTTTCTCTCTCTCTCTCTTTTATTCTATTTATTCTATTTCATTTATCTATTCCTTTTTTTCTACAATTTTCTTTTACTATGACGAAAACGAGTATTCGCTTGCACGTGCGAACGTATTACAAAGATACGCGCGCCATATTTTTTTGTTCTACTTTTAAATTCAATTATTATTATTTTTTCTATTACAATGTAATACGAAGATAATTATTAACAATTTGAAATCTTCTATAATTTTTATTAACGTTTGAAATAATACTTATTTTAAATAGGTTTTTCGCGATCAATGTTACGTCGACCTACAAAGATCTACTTTAAACGTAGAATGCGCAACCTACACTTCTTGGACTTTCATTCAGGTTAAAACCGTCTTGCATCTTATGCAAGACAGTTTCCTTTCATTTAACGACAGGCCTCTTTAGTAAACGAATTCGTTTAACGTCCTACCAATTTCAAAGCTATACACATCCATTCTTACGTTAAGTAGACGCATAATGAGATGCGTCTTTTCGTTTATTCGTATTGTGCCAAAGTCTATTTGGATTTCAATATAGTTATCATTTAGGTTAGATCTCTTGATTAAAAATGGAAAAAGAAAGTATGAAAGAGAGAAGGAAGAGAGAGGAAATGTAATGCTTAACAAAGAGTTTACTTAACACCTGATCAAATCGAGATGTTTTAATGCATTCATTCACTTAAAGGTATTAGAAAGTCATCGTAATCAAGTAGTACCTTCTCGTTAATTTTCATTACTTTATTTCTTTTTCATGAGTTAGAGGAATCTGCTGTTCCTAAAAAACACACACACACAAATATATGTATGTATATATATATATATATATATATATATATATATATATATATGTATATACATACACGCATGCACACACTGATCCTTTGAAACTTATATTTCTTTTTTCCTTTTGTCTTTTTCTCATCTGAACGAAGAGAAGTTCGACCTTAAACCTGTTTCACGATCGAATCTTCTTTTGTTGCTCGAATAGGTCGCCAGAAGCGAGCATTGTGAACGGTAGCCGGAGATTTAAACGGAATCCACCCAGACGCTCGTTGAAATATGTCTTCTCTTACGTTGAGTGGAAACCAGTCTATCGACTCATTCGAGAGATCGATCATTATCAATTCTTTTTCACTACCATAAGTTTAAGATATCTGTGGTATTTTAGTGACCGTTTCGCGTTATCCGATTTTAATTGCTTCAACACAGTTGGTATTTATCAGTAACATTTTAACATACAGAGTTTATATTATAAACGATTACATTTTTTAACTATCGATGTTAATTGATTTATGAGTTTTATTACGGATAAATCGATAAGATGAAAGAAAATATTTTTATTGATCTATATGTATATCTCTAAGAATTATTTAAACTTCCTAATAATTCGTGCTAAGGCTACTGATTTACACGTACTCTTTAGTGATTTAATAAATCTATCGTATCGTTACCATTGATTACGTGCACAAGTTCTCTATTAATTACCTAATAAATTAGTTCACTCAGACGACTTTCAATTTCTTGAGTTATGTTCTCTATGCTCAACCAATGAAAAGTTGCAATTATTTAGAAAGATATATATACAAATATTTTCGTTATACTATTATATATATATATATTTATATTAATACTATATTATATGTAATTTACTAGGTATAGTAGTAGTAATATACTATATTACTAGGTAATATATATTACCTAAGTTAAATTAATATATTAATTATGTATTAATTATATAGTAATTATATATTATTATTTATTTATATATATAATAATATTTATAATATTAATTAATAACTATTATTATATAACATTACCTAAGTTACATTAATAATATATATATTACCTAGAGTAATATAGTGTACTACCTCGAGTATATAAATTACATAAATATTAATATATATATATATATTTTAGTAAGAAAATTTTTGTATTAAATTTGTGATTAATTAATGTTCCGAAATGAAAAGTAAAAAGAAACAAAAAATCATTTAGAAATCTTATTACTATTAAATTACCATAGAAATACATAGGTGTATATATATATGTGTATAAATATTTTTATTGTTAATAATGAAGCATGATAACTAGTTATCGGGTTACTCACATCGTGTCCCTGAATTACACAACGTTCATTCTCCCCTCAGCCCGGTTCTCCTTGCTCGTAACAGTGGGTGGTGAGATACGATACGGTCGGTCGATCGTACGTCACGGTGCTTCCGTCAGGAATCTATGCAGAGAGAGAAAGAGAGAGAGAGAGAGAGATCCTTAGAGTCTTCCTTGGCAAAATGTGTTCGCTTGTCGAAGGAAGAAACACATTCCAAAGACGAATATGATTTCTCGAATATAACTGTTGAAATATCGAAAGAATTAGTTGATCAAAGTTTCGTTTTATTTTTATAAATGTTTCAAACAAATAAAACCATTTTTTATTGTAAAAAATTATAATATGTGTTGTTAAAAAACACTTCAATAACGTGTAATATAATTAGAGATTTTTGTAAACGTAGCTTAATGGTGTAACAACATCGACTATAGTAGGCATCGTTTCAATCTCGAGCGAAGAGTTTAATGCAGGGATAGGCACGATTTTTGAGATTCCTCGATCGTTCGCTCGTATCGTTTATATCACGACGTCTCGGGCCGGTATCAAGCCGTAAGTAAACGCTCGAGCATACGGCTCGTAAAGCTGTCAATGTCCCACCGGAACACGGACGTTCGCCAAAAGGTAACATCCACCATCCCCCGCGAAATCCCATAAACTTATCCCCGTACGACACGAATGTAAAAGGGAAGAAATTAAGAATAAAAAAAGAATTAAGAAAAAAAAAGTAAGACATTATTGAGAAAGAAAGAAATAAAAGAAGGGAAGAAAAAGATATATAATGAAAAGAAATATTAATAAATAAAATAAAGAAAGATATATACAACAAAGTTGGAAAAATTGTATTGGAGTATTCATTCGAGCATGGAGACTTTCCGCAGCTGGAGGTGTTTGCACCATGATCGGGACTCGGTAGTACTCTGTTATTTTGTATCGCAGTGAAGCTTCAGGCTATCGAGAGCGTTTCCTTCAATTTTAACGAAACGGTAGGAAGAAGGAGCGAATGACCGGGTGAAACAGAGAAAGAGAACATGTTACACGAAGTTGAAGAAAGAGGAAGAGAAGAGATGAGTGGAAGGTAGTCGATCGTAAATGCGTGTGTATGTATCGAGGTGAGAGAAAGCACTCGGTAGGCAGATCGGTGCCACGTTGTAACCGAAGTATAACCTGGTGTGTTCCAAAGAGAGAGAGAGAGAGAGAGAGAGAGAGAGAGAGAGAGAGGTGGAATGAACGAGGAGAGGTTTGATGGAAACTGCGTGCTGCACTTTCCAATGCACTTGGTGTGCGACCAGCTTCAAGCGGGAAAGTGCGACCGGCTTCTCTTTTAAACCACCCAAAAGATCTCGTTTTGTACGTGTCATGCTTACCAAATCTACATCTATGACCCCAAATAATTTATTCTTTTATTTTTTTTTGTTTGTCTTTTTCTTTTTTCTTCCCTTTCTTCCCTTATTACGTATATTTATCTCCGTGGAAATAATTATACGTTATTTCTCTTTTGTAATTATGCTTAATTAGTTGGGTGCTTTGCAAACGAAATTAATCGATATTTATTGTTACGATTTATCGAGATCATGCTTTCGTCTAATTTAAATTTATTTTTGGAAAGTATACGTGTTTAAATTCATTTTAATGCAAAAAGTTAAGCTAGTTAAAAGAAAATAAAAAAATATAAATAGTTAATGATCATTTCTAATAATAGTCTCATTATCGAATGGTGTACGTTAGCGAATGGAAAATTTGCAAAACAAGATGAATTACACCTACGACGTGGTATATACGATTTCTCTGGATAATTTCCGCTACAACTAATTGTCGGGAGAAAATCAATGGTGAAATCACGCCTACCAAATGATTAAAAAAAAGAACTCTCTTTTAAACTCTCTGTGTGTTCCATCGCGTAGTGTGTTCACACGTTTCATACGGTCTAAACTCTCTCGTAACTTTAACACTCGTTTACATTTACACACAAAGAAAGCACAGGTACTGCTACGTACGTAGCTGTACGAAGTAGGACAGAACAACGACAAATAACTCATTAATATAGCTGCGTATGTTACCAACAAAAAGAAATAAAGAAAGAAAAAGAAGACAAAAAATTATCTGAGAAATTGTTCGCGCTTATATATGTATATATGTGTGTTTACATGTATATATAGATACTTTCTCAACGTATGAAGAAAGAAGTTTATTCTACTCGTATATAAGTATCTTGTAAATATATATTTAGAAAACTGTTTCTTCACTTCTGCTTGTTTTAAAACTGCCACTGCTACGTACAAGTGAAATGTTTCAAATCTACTAAATTATGAAATATTTTATATTTGTTTATAATATTAAAAAATACACACAAAAAAAATTGATTATTCAAACGTTAGAAAATTGAACATAAATATTTTTACGTAATAACAGTTTCTCCTAATTAACGCATCTCTCTCTCCATACGTTCGGAACTAATAAGTTAATCTTCTTTTGCACGTAAGAGAGAAGACTTTGAATTGAAGGAAAAGTCCCTTTCGGCGTTTGATCGAGCGATGACCTCGATTGACCCGCCGATCCGTCACGGCTCTTCTCCTTAAACGCGAAGAAATTCTCTCTTCTCTTTCTTTCTCTCTCTCTCTCTCTCTCTCTCTCTTTCTTAAATAGTACTTTCTCAGTCGCGTACAATTAGCCGGTTAAAGTGCAAGATCGTAGGGATCGCACGTCACGTGTGGAAGCTAATGTCAGACTAATACAAGAGGCCTAACGTTTACTCCCCCACCTCCACCGCCACCCCCCGTCGTCTTTCGTCTAATCCTTTTTTTGTAGACTTCCTTTACTCGCGATTCCCTTTCCCTTTGCAAGAAAAAGGAAGAAGGGTTAGTTTCACGAGCGTGCGTAGTCGAGCACTAAGATAATACCACAGGAGACGACAACACGCGTGTTTCGCTAATGGAATGGCCTTCGGGCCGCAACCCGAACGATTCGTTTTCGTCGCGTCATCTCTACGCGGAATTTTGATTAATTACGACTACAGCTTGGCTTTAGTGGTAGTAAATAATTACTTTCCTATACACGATCCTCTATATACATTTTACTCATTATATATATATATACTCTTTTAACTCATTTACCTACCAACAATATTATATTAATACGTAATCCCAGTAATATAATTGTTGTTGTATTATCTTTTTTATTTCACTCTTCTTTTTTTAATGGCATGTCATTAAAAGCTTTTAAGGGTTTTATATGTTCAATCTTGAGTCTAATTTAAAATTCATTAAGACAACGCGAATTGATGTGCATCTATTTATTTATTTACTTCCCTACTTACTGAACTAACTTTATCAGAAATTTTCTAAAATTAGAATTTTAATTATGTACATTTTTAATTAAAACCGATTACGTGTATCATTTATCGTTATCTCGAACAAAATAACACACACACACACACATATTTATATATATACTTTTTTTAATTTTTCAAATAACAACATCCACACATAGCGCATCTTTTTCTTCGATCTCAGTAGCACGTTATAAAGATTACAAGGTATCATTACACCACTCCTGTTGACTATAAATCCACGTATTATGGAATAGGGAAAGACGACGCTATCGTTCCATAGATTACGTTACCAGACAACAGGGAAACAATCCTGAATAAAGTTTCCTAGCGTTTGCTGTCGATGAACTCTTATCCTTCCCTTCTTTCTTTCCCTTCTCTCTCTTTTTCTGTTACATAGTCACCACCACACAAAGTAGAAAGGTGGAGAGAATACTTCCTTACGTAGACCCTGGCTCATAAATAAGAAGCTTTCTCATAGGCGAAAAAGACAGCGCACGAAAGCTCGATACACCTAATTTACGAGCCCTTAAGGTGCCTCGAGTATATCATTAGCGTCGATAGAACGTTTTCTATCTCTGTTTTTCTCTTTTACTTTTACCAACTTTCTCTCTCTCTCTCTTTCTTTAGTAGTCGGCGTGACAACACTTCAGAAGATACTCGTGCATCGTCTATGGTTGTGCGTAAACGTTATTGTGCACCTTGTGTGTGCGAATAAAGAAAGGCAAGGGCGAGGTTGACCTTTAATTAAGTCGACGTCCAATCAAGGGACACCTACGCATCGTTGAACGTTCTCGCTACTATACAATTCGCCTTCACAATGTGGCTCTAACGTTATAATGTAATAACCACACACTTTGCTCCCGTTTCTATATACTACAAGTGCATTTCCATTGATTAACTTTCGATTTAAATTCTAAACGATAAGTTAAAAGTACGAACTATCTTTTATTAATCTAAATAAGTGCATATTATTAAGTGTTTGATAAAATTGTCAATATGTGTTTTTCTATCCAATCGAATGATAAGAAGTAATCGTGTTAATACGAATGATTACAAAAAAAAAAAAAATTATTACGAAACTAAATGTAATAGTTTGAATGGTTTGAATCAATATGAAAATTTTGTTCTAATTTTTAAAATAGAAACAAAAAGAAAGAAAGCAATATTCTATTGGGAATTCTACAACACAATGTGAAAACGTACGTGAAATAAGACGAGTAATAAACTGAATGGTATTCACAATCAGTTTATGTTTCTCGCTTTAGCTTCCCGGTTACAACCTCGACCAAGATTGCTTTCTTCAGAGAAAGAGAGAAAGAGAAGTCGTAGAAACGATACTGGCCGTTATTTTCACACCGTATCGAGAAAGAAAAAACAGAAATAATGTAAGAAGAAAAAGAAAGAGAAGATTCCTTTTCGCCAAGAACAGTCGCGATTAGCGATATCCACAAAAGAGAGGATTATGCGCTCGACTGTGGTATACCTATCGACGTTCCTATGTGTTTCGTTCCTGTAAACGTTAAAACGCGCCCCCGCGCGACGCATAGTAATGCGTATCGGTTAGTATCAAATATACTCGGTGTTTAAGAAAAACATATAGAAATGCACTTTCTCATTCAAATTATCGAATTATTCAAAAATTTAACACATAACATTTTTACATAATTTAAATTAAATATCTTTGCACATCTGTTAGAAATCTTATAAAGTTTAAATGATTAATTGTAAAAATTAGTAAAAAAAAGATTTGAAACAATAGGTGTAGTTAGTTTTTGTACATTGAAAACCAAT